CCGGGATCTCTAGAGTTACCGACTTAGTATTACAATTAAGCCCGGTATAATAGGGGGACAACCAAGTCATGACTAAGATTATATCAAGTAAGTCATATACAACATAACCAAATCAACCCAAATATGAAAATTCATAAACAGAATAGGACAACACGATATACATGGGTGACTATGACTGATTCTTCATTGGGGTAGAAACATGGATGGGGGCATCAACTATAACACAAACCACATCAAATCCCAAGGAAATTGAACTGACACGTATGAATAAGTAGAACCCAAATCACACAAAACAATAGGCATCCGGGCATAGACAAGAGTAGCACTTGTGACCACTGCATCACACCCTCAAACTCGGTCTTACCCGAAAAAAACATAAAACTGAGCCATGTCCTCTTGACAGGTAACTTTCTCACCTGGCTGCACTACTCCTCTACCTACATTACCATTTCCCCGGCCTCCACGGCCTCACTGATTTCCTCATCATATGCTCAGGCTCTCCACAATTTGAACACACCTTATAACTTATATTCGATTGCTGAACAATGAATTAGATCGCGGGGGTTAGTTCGGGTATGATTTGGAGTCTATAATTGTGACTAGGGGAAAATAGGGGAGACAGGGCTGAGATTCTGTCTCGCCATATCCCAATCTGGTAGGAGAAATCCTGCACTGGCGGTCTCGCCTTGGCGGAAAAAATCCCGCCCTAGCGGCCATAACGGAAATGGAATACTTGCCAATAATTTTTCTGGGTTCTTTTCTTTCCCAATTTCCCCCAAAGGTTCCCAGCTATAACACAAACTTTTTTAGAGAAATTCCCTTTAGCTCGGACAATCATTGTCTACTCCCCGGTCAACCAAATGAAGTACGCACTTTAGAATCCTTTTACTTCATTTCAACACTATCACACACATAGCCCCAGGATACACCCAGACTCTCACACGGTTATCAGTTGGTCGCAACGCACGTCTAGATTTCTCGCTTACGAACCACATCGTAAATTATCTAGACCCTTGCACCTAATCTCGTGATGACTTTCTTTTCACAACAAGTTCCACGACACTCAACTGGTTACAACTGGCACAAATTTCAACACTTAGGCCAACACATTGCACTTATCGAAGTTCAGACACACATTTAATGTGCATATAATAACCTCATCACATTTAAGCAATTACAACTTCACATTCGTAGCTAATTCAGACAACCAGAAGCACGCATTCAAAGTTTCCAGGATACAATTCACAGATAACTCCAAAATTCTTAATTAATTATTTCACTCCATGGATGACCATTCCTGATCATCTTAGCATTCACACCACCCCTAGGGCCAGATACCAATAAGAACCTTCTTAGTTTTCAATTTTGTTTGCTTATGGCCCCTCAGTCGTGACCACAACGTCTAGTTCACTTTGGTGAGATCTACCAATTGGAATCGGGAGATGCCAATTGGACTCAACTCATACCATAAGCAACAATAATAGCTAGCGAGCCCCACAAAACTGCTAATTTTAATCATAAAACCTGGTTGATCCCAATTCTTAATCATCTCAATCTTTAACTGATGGTAACCAGACCTTAAATCAATCTTAGGGAAAACTGATGCACCTTGCAATTGATCAAAAAGGTCATCTATCCGAGGCAATGGATACTTATTTTGAATGGTGACCCTATTCAACTATCGGTAGTCTATACACATCCTTTCTTGCTAGTGATGGTGTTACCTCTTTTGTTGCTCTAGTTCGGACCACAGAGTGAAGGAGAAAAGATATGAATTGGATTCAAGTCATAGCACAAAGGAGTAGAAAGAAGTGAGTTTTTCCTAAAGTCCTATAGCCTCTCGAAGAAAAGTACGGACGTCATCGTACCATTCCACAAGACTCTACTAGACTCGTTTTGGTACATTGAGATCAACGAACCTAGAGCTCTGATACCAACTTTATCACGACCCAGACCGTCGTGATTTGCAACCACACAATCCCTCAGGTGGGAGAACCATTACTACAACCCAAACAAACAAATTTTATGAAAACTAAGGCATTTAAAGATACGGAAGCAAGTTTAAATGACTATAAAAATGGAGTCCCCATAAACTCCAAGGTTTTTAACAAACAACTAACCAAACTAATGCGGAAGAACAACCCGTAGAACCTGAAAGTCATTGTACCAATATTCTACTAACAACAAGTCTAAGAACAAGGGATATAACCCCAAAACTGAACAAGCTGCTTAACAAATAGTGTGAGTCCGAAAAGAGTGGACTTAAACAAAAAGAGAACTGAAGGCAGCCCGAAAGAACTGGCTCACCCCTTAATTCGATCGGCAATCACTGATCTTCTGAACGAGGTATGTCAATAGCCGCCGGAGATGCCCCGTACTCAACAAAAAAAAGAACAAGTGCAGTATCAGTACACAACCACAGTGTACTGGTAGGATCACGCGGCTATCCCAA